TTTTTGAGATTAAGAGTCTCATGGACTTTCTTGCCCAGGCTGGCTTCTAATTGTGATCCTCAGATCTCAGCCTCCTGAGTAGCTAGGATTATAGGCATGAGCCACCAGCACCTGGACGCTATTGCCTTGTTATCCTGAGGAGGACATTTGGACACTCTTGGGTAAAAATCCAAGCTGATAATGTTGTATTGCTCTGGGCAGAATCAGTAGGTCTTTAACTCTTCCAAATGAAAATTAGTAAAGAGCTATCTTGGCTGCAAGGCTTGGACCCTTTCATCATTGTATGTTGAAAAAAGATTAAAGAATAGTTGGGAAAAAGAAATTGGTAACTTCTAAAGAATCTCATTTTAAAATGAATTTTCTTTCCCCTGTCAAACTTCTAGCTTTCAGGGGGACAAAAAGGCAAATATACAAGTTAGATAGTATCTGGAAAACTGTTCTACACGACCTGTGTTTATTGAAACCTGTGGTATCATAAGGGACGCACTGAAATATCCTGAAATATCTGTTAATGAAAAGCTGGCCAGCAAGCAAGAAGTAATAAGGATATTTTATCTCTTTGACAGTCTTATAATGAAAAAAAATGAAAGCAAAGCTTGTTCATTTTAATTGATGAAAGGAACATGGATTTCATGAGGTTGAGAAGGCAACTCAACTTTGCTAGGGGCAACCAGCTCTCCTCAGCATGTCTTGCTTGGTTAGAGACAGTGAGCATCATTGGGTTAGAACATATATTAGCTTCCCAGTAATTATCCATTTGCATATCTAGTTTTCCTAGGTTGCATTACTCTTTTTCTTATTTTTTTTATTGTGAAAATACCGTACAGAGGGGTTACAATTACATGGGCAAGATAACGAGTACATTTCTTATCAAGCATTTTTGCCTCCTTCTTTGTTTCCCCTTTCCATCCCTTCCTATACACCCCCACCCTCCCGATCCACCCGATCCTCCCCCCCTCAAAGTTGTAAAGTTCGTTTTTCGACATAACGACTTGTACATCTCATTGTTGCAATGGGTCCACCTGTATCCTTATTTAAATGATTTGTTTTTTCCCTTCCCCTCCACAAATTATACCAACATCAAATACAGTGAAAGCAGGGGTTATAATGACATGTTTCTAATGATAGGCACAATGCCTGCCACAGAGCTGATATTCACTAAATTATTCTTGAGTGGATGAATAAAAGATTATACATTATCCCTTCCTTCAGGAATTAATTATGCAGGTGAGAACTGAGGATGGAAATACATACAAAGCCAAATGATGCTTATCACTGCACTCATTATTGTTCATTCACCATGATCCTCTTACTATTCACTCTTAATTTGGTGGTGTTTGGGAGAAGTCCTAAAGATGGTTAGTGATGGATTTCTGCACTAGTTTGTATACATTTTCCCAATGCTCCAGCCTCAGGTTTACCTCTCCATCAGAGAGAATTAGTGGTTTATCTTCTTCTATAGTTGATTAATCCCTTGTCATCCCAATAAAAATGTCATTTCCTCCTGGAGGTCCTCCATGATTGCCTGGGTTAGGTTATCAAGCCTTGCTATATGTTTCAATCTTACTGGAGTTCTTTCTTAATGGAGTGTGAGCCCCAGAAAGAGGGTGAAAGGTTCCATCTTGTTCTCTTTCCCTGAGATCAGCATAGCAACTATTCTATAAGTGCTCATATAATAAACATTATATTAGTCTATAAAATGCATAAAGCTAGTTAATTTGTAAAGAGGTGTATTTTGACTCACAGTTCTGGCAGTTCAAGAGCATGGCATTGGGATCTGCCTGGCTTCTGGTGCGGAATGGCAGAAAAGCAAAAGAGGAAGCTAGTATGCATGCAAAAGAGGCATGCGCATAAAACAGATTGAGGGAGGGCAGGTGCTGTGCTCACTTTATAACAATCCAAGCTTCAAAACTTTCTTTCTTCCTTCCTTCTTTTCTTCTTTCTTTCCTTCTTTCTTTCTTCCTTCCTTCCTTCCTTCCTTTCTTTCTTTCCTCCTTCCTTCCTTCCTTCCTTTCTTTCTTTCTTCCTTTCTTTCTTTCTTTCTTTCTTTCTTTCTTTCTTTCTTTCTTTCTTTCTTTCTTCTTTCTTTTTATTGGTGGTGGGGCTTGAACTCGGGGCCTGAGCACTGTCCCTGAGGTCTTTTTGTTCAAGGCTAGCACTCTATCATTTTGAGCCACAGCTCCACTTCCAGTTTTCTGGTGGTTAATTGGAGATAAAAATTTTATAGACTTTCTTGCCTGGGCTGGCTTTGAACTGTGATCCTCAGATCTCTGCCTCCTGAGTAGCTAGGATTACAGGCATGAGCAGTACCTGACTCTAACTTAGTTCTATTTTTTCCCTTAGTTCTTGAGGAAACTACTTTAATTCTTTCATGATAGTGGAGCCTGTAAGACCTAAGTTGTTAAAGGTTAAGTCTTTTCTCAATGCCACTGTTTTGAGGAATTAAGCCTTAACATGCCTTGGTGGTGGGGATAAAGCTGTAGTAGACAATTTTTCATTAGGAAATCTTTGAGAAGGTAAAGAGGTTCTGGAATATGGACCTGGATCTAGAACTTACAGGGAGGCAGAAGCCTAGATTAATGCTCAGAGTGCAGTCCCTGGGTCAGCAGTGCTGGAGCTTGCCAGAAATGTGCTTCTTCAGGTACCACTCCAGACCTAAGTGCTTTGTCTGCATGTTCAAGTGTTAAGAAGCACAATTACTTAGGGAAAAGACACATGTCAAGAGTTAGCCCACCTAGGAGATTGAGTACTCTAAACCAATCTGCATAATTGCCTTGTATGTAAGTACCAGAAATGACCTTTTTAAATACTCTAGTATTTCCTACCAATGAGGCCTGAGTTCTTTTACTTTTCTTTCCTTCTTTCTTTTTGTCAGACGTGGAGCTTGAACTCTGGGCCTGGGCGCTGTCCCTCAGCTCTTCAGCTCAAGGCTAGCACTCTACCATTTGAGCCACAGTGCCACTTCAGGTTTTCTGAGTGGTTTATTGGAGATAAGAATCTCACGGACTTTCCTGCCTGGGCTGTCTTTGAATCGAAATCCTCAGATCTCAGCCTCCTGAGTAGCTAGGACTACAGGTGTGAGCCACTGGCGCCTGGCTGAGGCCTGAGTTCTAATCCAACCCAGTTTGATCTCATGGAACACATCATAAGTGAATATCTTTGTTAGGGGGGAAATGTTACTTGCCAGTGGGTATTCTCCAGACACCATGGATTTCTGATCATGCTTTTGGCTTTATTGTCAGATGGAACCAGGGAAGGCAATGTCTAGTCTGCTTCAGGTCCAAAGCCTTAGATGCCCAAGTGACTGGCTGACTTTGAACATTTGGAACTAAGCCCAAAAGACTGCCAGGGGATGGTATGAGGAACATCTTCATCTCTCCCACTCCATCTAAGATATGATTCACTTGCAGGCTAGTGTCCACAGCTAAGATACCCATAGCTTCATGACCCCATGGACACAGGTGGCTTTGGTAGGATGTGGCAGGAAAGAGATCAAACAGGCATCTCCAAGGTGAGGCAGGATTTTACTCCCTGTAGTGGGGAAATGGAGTGTGGGCAGTGAAGGACCACAGGGTATAAGCACAGGATCAGGAAGTTTCTAGAATCTAACCAATTTTTTTTTCTGTTACTAATGAAGTGTCCAAGTCCCTTGCCTGAGGGTGGCAGAAATTCAAGATACTTGAGTAGCAAGTAGTTCAGGGAGTAGGATGCATGAGTTAGAGGTTTGCTTTAGGTTCTTATCAATTCAGTGATTCACTGGATGCAGTCCCTTCCAGGCTCACTCCCCCATCCCCAAAATAATTAGTAATTCACCCAATTCTTTCTGTTTTTGTTGCTTTTGTTTTTCACTTTTTGGGAGGTAGCTTTTGTTAGGTAGTCTCCTTACCATTTGATCTATGTCTTCTATTTCTTTTTGCCTTGGTTATTTTCAAGGCAGCATCTTGTTTCTTGGCCTGGGCTGTGACTCTCTACTTGTGCTTCCCCATGCACTACTGAACCCAGCCCTTTTGTTTCTCCTATAGCTGGGATAACAGGTACAGCACTGTGCCTAGTCATTTGTTTGAGATGGAGTCTCCAGAACTTTTTTTTTTTGCTCCAGTTTGAACCATGACCTCCAGATCTCTGCCTCCTAAGTAGACAGGCCAGCAAATTTTAGCCTCTGTGCCTGGTTCTTTATTCCTTTTAACCTTCCTTCCTTCCTTCCTTCCTTCCTTCCTTCCTTCCTT